ACGCGCTTAGGTTGCGGGGCATCGCGTCGAGAACGTGAATTTTCGCCGCAGTGATATTCGAACAGGATTTCCAAGGCAGCAGGATGGTAGAATCGTGGTACGGTTTACCCCCACTCTTTTCTAAATATAGCTCACCGTCTCTCGAACGGCCAGCGCACACGGACAGGGCTTGGATATGCTTGTGTGTGCCAGCACGGTGGACGTAAAGTGGGGGTAGCCGGGACGTCATAGTGGGAGACGATGGTACGTCGGAGTGGGAGAGTGGTGGGGGTAAACAGTACCACGATTCTGGCATCACTGGCTTGGGGAATCATTCTTCTTGGAGATCTGGATCGTGTAATAACGTGTTTTATACTGTGCTTGTATTTTAACGTATTATATTTGTGTTTTCTTCAAAGTTGCTTGACAAAATGACCAGTCACGGGAAAGCTGAAAAAATGTTGCCAGAACATCAAAGGTAAGTCTTTAATATTATAATAATTATTGATTTGATTGATGTCTCGCATTTTACTGAATTTATATCCATCGGTCGCACGATTGTTGTTCTCGAAGAGCGTAATTCATTCTAGTTAAAACGTTAGCTTGTGTACGTCGCCAATTTATTCATTGTATAGGGTTAAATTGTTCGAAGCGCCACTTACGAACGAACGTTCGTATACTTGAAAATATCTTTTCATATCAAATAGAATTTATATCTTGCAGTTTATTTAACAGATTTTCCAGATTATATGAAATGAAATGTTAACGTAGTGAAAGTGATAGAATTTAAAATTTATACAAATATTATGAATAGTTCGAATACGTAGGTGCGATACTGCGTATTAACACTAGAACTACCAAGAAGCAAATCAAAATGACTTGTTAATACTCTCTTACAACGACGGTTAAAATGTTATGACAATATATTATCTCAAATCTTTTGCACCTTTTATTACGATACAAAAGTGAAGACAGTCAATTTCTAAATTTCTAAATTTTCAAAAGTCTACGTTTATCCACCGATCGAAGCAGATATGCGTTTATCGTCGGTAGTTCTAGTATTAAGTACATACGTGACATTATGATGCACTTAGTTCTGACTGATTTTGCTATTTTTATGAAATTGATGTAACGTATAAAAATATTTGATTAATCTAGTTATCTCTCAGAAAAATTTCCTGATTCGATTTTGTATTGTATTTTATTTATTTTATTTATATTTCCCTGTTATTTTAATTACACAATGGGGTACAACGATCTAAATGCTTCTAAAATCTTCTTCGTTGTGGCGTCTAATCCTTGTAGCATTTATTGAAATCATTTCGATTCATTTTTTTGTATTGAAATATCTCGTATAATTTTACAAACAATAACAAAAGATGACTACTGACGCTTTAATATTATTTGCGTTTATTATTTAACTGGTGCGGATTGTCCGTTGTTCATTTATCATGGAAACAAAGGCGCACTGGAACAGTTTGGAAAATGACCGATCGTCTTTTCACACTTTCGTTGTAGCATACTTCACTGTACTTTATGTCGTATACGAGCATATGAATTTATTTTGTATTAAATACATACGACAGCGATTCATTTTTTTTCGACGCTATTAATACAATCATGTTTCGTTTAAAGTGTTAAAATTAATAAACAATTGGCAACCCACGAATGCAATAATATTACCGTGAAATTGCCTGGCTTCAGTATATGTGGTCAATTCTTTTATGAAGTGAAAAATTGCGATCAACTAAATAATAAAGCGAGATCGAATATTTTTTTCATGTGAACTTTCATGACTATTCTGAAGTTTAGAATTCACCATGTCAAAATGTTTCGTATTTTTATTAATACCCTCTATAATATGAATACAAACTGTTACTAACAATGTGTGCGTTCCAAAGATGGGTAGAAATTATCATACATGACTTTGACTAGTTGATTTTTATAAAGTCACCGAATCATATCTTCATCTTTATAAGAATCAACGAATCGAAGTCATGTATGATAATAATTTCTGCCCATCCTTGGTGCATTCCTTTGCCAAATTATAAACTAGGAAGCTGTTTCCGCGTGTAGCACCTTTTATGTTGCGTATTCGCCTTATATTTCACCCGTCTGCAAGTTAACTGATTGTGACATATTCATAAATGGTTGTTTCACAGTTGCCATCCATGTTTGCTTTAATACGTATTCTCTTTCTTGTCGGGAATGTTGGATTCATTTCAAAAAAATCGATTCTTGAATCATGAGAACCGATTCTCAAAAAATCGATATCGAATCTATCTAAAAATCGTAAAATATTATATATACGTAGGGTAAGTGCGGGTATTACTGCGGACTTTTAGGATAGGTTAACTTTAGAGTGCTCGATAAAGCGTTCAAATGAATGAAAGTCCCTCTTTCTGGCTTTGAAAGAAAGTTGGATGATATTAATTCCATAAAAAAATGAGAAGGATTTACTGCGGACATGCGTGCATTACTGTGTGCCAGTTACTAACGAAATACCAATTATTGCGCGTATATTACTGTGGACTTGTGTTAAGCAAAATATTAGTATAAATACCTATATCTTGTAAATAGAAAAATTATTTAACTTTATTTGTAAGAAGGATATGGTATAATATACAAGACAGAAAGTATTAATTTATTATATATTTATAATATTATATCAAGCTTTTTTACAATATGAACAACACAAAAAATTATAATTTCAAAACTTTTTTTATTGATTTCTTTTCAATAATGTTAATTTTGTAGCTTTTTTTTTCTTCGATTTCTGCTACTTTTGCTGTATATATTTACTAATAATTATTTGTGATAAAGTTTAAAATAATTTTATCATTAATCTTCAAGAGCTTTTGTACTTTCCAACATTAAATATTATTTGTTTTATAAATATCCGTATTAATTGGGACATCCGCAGTAATACACACACTTACGCATTATATGTGTGTTCTCTGCTTATGTGAGCGAAAATGTTTTCTTTTGTAACGGGAGAAAATTGACATCATCGTTCAAGGTGACCGCTTGATTCAACCGAAATCTACTCACCGTATGACGACTCGACCGCCTAAGATGGCGACCGTTTATTTTGTTGTGCATAATATTCGACTCGACGCAAATCCGTGAAACATTGTTTCCAGTAGTGATGGAAAAATATCGATAGTTGTAACCTAGAATAGTTACCAATAATTTGATACCGAAATATCGATAATTATCGATTATTTCCGATAGTTTAAATTCTACAGAATTTATTTATTAAAAGAAATTTTTAGTGCTAAAAGTGTATGAATTCGATCGATGTTTTGATAGATAGTTTGGTTAGAAAACCGACCCTACAATTGAATTGCGACTATCGATTATCGATATTTTATTGATACTTAGCGATACTTATATCGATATAATATCGTTAAAATATCGTTGCGGTGAATAGACGCGATTGAGGTAGAATGCAAAGCATTCATAGTAACAAAATCATTTAAAATTGATTTATTTTTATTGGTTCTTATTACAGATAACCTATTAGTGTATTTTTTAACTATATAATTTCAAGACAAGTACACTGAGTGTATGTCCATTCAGGACCTCTTATCTAAATGGGGCTCCATATGGCGCCTTATAATTTTTATCAATTTCATCAATTTAATTTGGATTAATATTTTGCACTACCCGAAAATACTTAAATGGAAAAAAATTTACAAATAAATTGGAAAAAAGACTTAATTTTTCCTTGCAAAAATATTATATTTTCTTTTTAATTTATAAGAAAAAATTGGGGAACAAACAAAAGGAAAACAACCAACGTTGCCGCTCAAAGCAGACATGCGCAGAATATACTACCAAATGCATTCAGATCTAGTTTGCATACTTTGATCTTAATTTTTTGTTTTTTTTTTGATAGTTAACATATCTTTTTTCCCTGCCACCATAATCTCTGTAAAAATATAATTAATCACCTAATTTTTGATGAAAATGTTATTTTTTGTAACCGAATAAGAAGTGATTAACGTCTCAGTATCAACTATAGTACCATAAGGCTTGTGTTAAAAAGAAATATTTCACGTTGCTTTTTTAATAATTTTATCGTCGACCTTCCGATTTTTTAGTAACAAACGACAGTTGAAGCTTTTAAGAATGTTTTAAATTTCCAACTGAATTTACAATAGTATTGTTAAAATGAGCCTCGAGTCTTGAGCTTTAACAGCTCGAGTCACGGTTCAAACCCTAAAGGCTCGAACCCTCAAGGTTCGAAGCTTGAGTCGTGAAAGCTCGAGTCTTTAACGCTCGAGCCTTTAGTCTTGAAGGCTCGAGTCGTATAAATTGTATGTAGTGAAGTAATGTACAGACCTTGCGTTTTCGAAGCCTTAAAACTTAACCTAAAAGTTTTCAGTTTTTAACTCTAATATTACACGAATCTCAAGCTTTTGAAGCTTCAAGGGGGAATAATCCAAAAACATCCAGAAAAGCGTGGTTTTTGTAAATTAGTTCTGCAACACCCAAACCTCATTAAACTATTACTAATAGGGTGATCAAATATATATGTTGGACAATACGTTAAATTTTCTTTTATTACAAAATACCTATGTATACTTGAGCAAGATATACGAGGCATTGGATGTTACGCGTCGATGTTTTCGGCTTTATGAGGGTATGGGATAATGTCAAAATCAATTAGTAATGACTGCATTGTACCATTCATCGTAAAGTGGCTAGTGATAACAATATATGGTTTGTGTGTTACGGAGGTCCAAAAGTCAAATGTTAATGATATTTTATGATTTGATTCTCTAAAATGTTGAATAATTTTATTCTTTTTTTCCTTGAACGTACTCTGAATTAACTGATTCATGGTATACCTGCTAGGAACTTTATAATTTGGGTTCAATCCACTCACGAAATTAACGAAAGCTTCTTCTTCTACAATACGCAGTGAATGACTTCCCTGAAGTATGAACTTCATCAACAGATTTTGAAGAACAGAAACAGATTTTGTCTCATGTTTCCCAACATTTTTGCGTGTTGCTTGCGAAACATTTCCTTCATGTTTCTTATAATGTTTTCTTAAAATACTATGCGATGTTTTGAAAGAAAAAGAATGGTTACAACTACGACACTGTACTTTATCCTCTTCTTTCTTTTCGAAGCAATTCCATTTCCACGAACTTCTATGATGGACCTCTGTCATTGTTGCCTCGTGTTCGTTATCAGAGATTCCACTAAAAGAACTATTAAATGACACCGATGCTTCATCCATTGTACAACTTGATTTGTAATTTGAATTTTAAATTTTAAATTCTATATAAATTCCAGTTTATTATCCGGCCTTTTTATATCTTTTATAGCGTTTCTGCTCACTATATTCTTGCTTTGGTTGTTTCTTAAAACTAATTGATTGTTACCGTCATCGTTATTTCAGTTCCCTTGACGATTGAAACAAAATCGGTTCCTTCGCCTTTATGCTCTGCACGGTACGTTGGC